AAAAAAAAAAAAAAAAAAAAAAAAAAAAAAAAAAAAAAAAAAAAAAAAAAAAAAACATAAAACCTACTCCTGCGGTGCCTCGACAGACGAGCGAGAAGCCAACGACAGCCCCGACGATCGAGTGAGTTCCGGAGATCGGTAATTTGAACGCGGTAGCCACCAGCAACCAGATAGCCGAGCCAGCCAAGCTCGACAAGCTCCCCAGCATCAGCTCCTTCTCGTGGCCCTCGTACAGCGACACGTCCAGGATTCCCTTGCGCATCGTGTCGGACACCTATACGTTTATTTCGTTAGTTGTTTGTGCATTATATGCACGCGCACACCACTAATAATAAAACATACACGCAGTGTACTAAGGGGCGGGGGAGAGGGTACGATGTTGCATTAAAAATACAGGCGCGCTTGTCATGGTTTATTGAAGAGGGCACGCTTGATTTTAAAAATGTAGACACGAGAGGCACAAAGTCGGTCGAACGACCCTCTTACCTTGTATCCAATGAGAATGGCACCGGCGATCTCGAAGACCGTAGCGAGCACGCAAGCCTGGAATATGGTGAGGACCCCGGCGCCGACGCTCGTCCCAAAGCTGTTGGCAACGTCGTTGGCACCGATGCCGAAGGCCAAGATGAAAGCCACGATGAACCCGACCACCAGCAGCCACACCAAACTACTGTCGTACGGCACGATCGTCGTCATGGCTGCTTCTTCTTCGTCGTTCTTAACGATCTATCGTTCTCGCGATCTTTTGGCGAAAATCGGTATGCCGATTTCTCGCTCTTAATCCTTTACGATGACAATAACGATCGTAATAATGATAATCCTATCCTATGCGAGACTCGTGTTTACCCTTTCCTTCATTAATCGGCTATGTATGTATAATATACATATATGTACACAATTGAACTTGAATTAATCGATATAACTTGTAAAATTCTTCGTTGATCTATCGACGAGTTAAAGATCGGCCTCTGTATATTTGTACACGTGGTTTTCAATCGTCATCATCATCATTATTATTTTTATTATTAT